TTTTTTTTTCATTGCCTTGATAATTTTGCAGAATAAAAAGAGTCATTGTATGGATAAGCCTGGAACCCGCAAGGAGCTCAGTGAAGACATGACCCGTGAGTCACTCATTGCAATCTCCTACGGATTACCGGACAATTATCCCACAGATGTCGCTTTTCGCGGAGAAATAAACGGCGTGAAGAAAGTCAATCAACCTCTCGATAGTGATGGGGATGAGAAATTGAGGTCTAAGCTCATCTCAATTTCTGATTTACCGCCACCAGAGGGTAATGTACTTCTGCCCTTGCCTCAGGAGATCAACAGTTAGGATCGTTCTGTATCATGGGATGGAGAATGTGAATTGATGAATTTATTAAGAAAATTAAAAAGTAAGTACAAAAAAATATATATACATGACTTGTGCCTAACTTTAAAACATCTATGTCTCGGTGTAACAACTGTATTCTTCGCATTATGACGCTTATCAACTGTTTGTGTGGTTGTTTCGAGTGATATTTCTATGGTGTGGAAAAGCTTAGACAGTCTTTTGATCTGTTTCTCATGCTTATTTTGAGTTGCACTTGCATTGTGTATGGTATAGAAAATCAAATATGTTTTCAATTATGAAATTTTACATGTATTTGTGTATATTATTTATCTTATAATAACCCATGCATCATGCCGTCATGTTGTATGTAGTATAAAGAAGTTGCTATCAGTCGATACTCGAATTATTATACTTTACTTATCATGCAGTATTCATTAATTTTGAAAGTTTGATTGTTGCTGTAGTCTCATGGCATAAGTTATACATTGCTGATCTTATACAATCTTGGTAGATATGAATAATCAGTGTTGTAACCCGGGGGGTTTTAAATGTGCGGCTGTCATTCGAATCGAGTTGTCTGCTAACATAATTTGACTCAAATTGTGAAAGCTCGAGCTCGACTCGCTTATTTATTTAAACGATCCAAATTCAAACGTCTAATCGAGATTGTCTGTCAAAAAAACGAGTTGAACGTCTTTGCGATCAACTCATTTATAATTTTGGATTCTGGTCTAGATTTTGTGCTTTACTAAATGAGTCGAACTAAGTTTATACGAGTTGAACTTGAACTTGCATTTTTGTTTGTTTATAAAACAAGGTGAAACACACCAAATTGTTCATTAATTAATAAGCACGATTCTGAACATGAAGTGCTCGACTCAAATATGTAGCTAGATGCCTGTATAAAGAAGAAAAAGTAAGAAAATAATTTTTAATTATTTATCATAAATTACATGAATCGCATTGTAGATGATATTAAAATATTAATATTGTATTTGTAAAATAAAAATATCATTTAGTATACATTCTACTTTTGTTTTATGAATGGATGAATCTAGCTAAACTTATGAATTATTCATATACTTGAATTTAATTAGCAAAAAAAAAAAAAGTCACAATTTATTAAAAAGACTACTATGCGATGGTGTAATAGTTTGTCACTCTGTTTTATATGACATGCCATTTTAAGTTAGTGTATTTTTATAGATTGTCTTTATAGATTGTCGTCAAAAGAAAACAAATGAAATTTTTAAATTAGTGTTACAGATAGTGAAGGTAAAATAATGGATTAGGATTGTCTAAAGAAAACAAATGAATATTTGTCTATGCACAATTGATGTTAGACTAGACTTATTATTTGGATTATTGATGTATCCTGACACATTTTCAATAAATATAAATATACATAGTGATGATACAAGGATTACTTGACGTCAGTCCGAGGACACATGACGGTGATTGATACTCCGGCATCCTCCTGAACTCGTCTCCTTTGTTTCGATGCCTACAAAATAGAACCCCGGGGTTGTCCCCAGGTGCAGACCCTCCGATGTCTAAATTAGAATTGGTTTTTGATTTTTTGGGTGATGGCTGTAGAATGAGTAAAAGAGAGAGAGTATTGAGTCGTAGAGAATGAATCTTACCTTGACCTAGGTCGTTCTTTTATAGGAGTCAGACGACCTAGGTCTTCCTTCTGCAAACGGAGGACTTCCCAGCCCATTGGCTTGGTGGGCTGACCACTAGACCCTAGGCCTAAAGTAAAGTTCAGTAATTCCTTTCAGGACGTTGCATCCAGAGTAAAGTTTTTCGGGACCTTAGGCCTAAAGAGGTTGGGACTCTAATGGTTCTCAGAACACACGTGTATTTATTTTCTCTAGCCACGTGTCGCCTAATAAATGTATATTTTTTCCCCCTTATCACATTGAGAAAAAGTCATGGTAATAAAGGATAATATGAAAGACTATTTAATTAATTCATATGACATTTACCTATAAAAAATTTAAAGATATACTTTAATTAAAAAAAAAAAAGAAAGAAAGAAAGAAACCATGATAAGTTACATCTATTGCCAGTTCGCCACTAAACTGTATGGATTCATGACAGCTTATGTGATGAAGAATATATATAATATTATTATTATTATTATTATTATTATTATTATTATTATTATTATTATTATTATTATTATTATTATTAGTTACTTGGATATTATACTAGGGTTGAGTTTGAAACCTTTATTTAAAGGGCTCTTCTGTTTTGGTGAAGAGCAGAATTTGATGAATGAAAATAATTGATCGTGTTTTTTTTTGGGAGAGTATCCCGTGTTCTGGAGAGAGTATATCCTTGTATCTTCCCGCTCGTTCACGCTTCTCCTACATCAGTTGGTATCAGAGTCAACCCATGTGCCAGCGGTGACCGCTGGGCCCACAAGGGGGGTGGATGATGCAGCGCATCCCACATTGGGTTTGAAAGGAAACGAAGCAGGCCTTATATGAGGATGAGTATCTCCTTGTATCTTCCCGCTCGTTCACGCTTCCCCTACATCAGTTGGTATCAGCAGTCGGTACGATTCGCAATGTCGCTGGGACAAAAAGATGCCGCAAATGAACAACGTGATGCAATCTTCTACGATCGGTTTCAACATATTAACTACCGATTTGAAGAGTTGGACGTGCGTTTCACGGATTGGTTTGCCGATCTTTCGACGGGGATCGAGGATTTGCATTCGACGCTTAACAACGTGGTTGTTTCGGAATTGCAAACGAACCGCGATGGAGCTGTGGGCCGTGGCTTTCGCGGGAGAGACAGAGGCAGTTGTGGGGGACGCAGCCATGTCGGGCCGCCCCGGCAGCGGTTCCCGCCACCTCTGAACGGCATCGAGGATGGCAACTTTGCTGGCGGTTGTCGAGCCCAATACGATTGGGGACTTGATCGCGAATATGCTCAATGGGAGGGCCCGTTTCGTGTTAACATCCCCAAATTCGACGAAGAGCAGGTTGACGGGCCATGGTACGATGGTCCGCCTTTGTTTGATGAAGGACCCGAAGAGGTGGAGGAGCGTCTTACTGTCGAAGTGGACGATCTCTACGACGGTCCGCCGATTTTCGATGAGGAACCTCCTGGGCTGGAGGAATTCAATAATGTTTCGGGCATCAAAATTCAGTTGTTGGAAGAATTTGGTGTTCGATTGGTAGTTACTTATTGCGCAGGCTCGAGCTTTTCTCCTACGTGAATTTGTTGCGACC